TAGAAACAAACTGCTGGCCTTCTGACTAGCAGCCATAGGTCACCATAGCTCTTAACCACTGCACCATCAGGGCTCCTGTCAGAGACCAGAGGACACTAATAAGACATAACAACCAAATACAGTACAGTATCCTGGATTGGATCCCAGAACAGAAAAAAGACATTAATGGAAAAACTGGTGGAAGCTGAAGGAAGTCTGGAGTCTGGTTAATAGTAATGTACCAATCTTAGCTCCTCATGAGTCAGAATTGATTCAATGGCACACAACAACAGCCATAGAAATGTAAGATGATCACATTAGAGGAAACTGAAACTGGGTGAGAGGTAAGTGAGGACTCTCTGTACTACCTTTGCAAGTTTTCTGTAAATCTAAAATTATTCCAAAATAGTTTGTTTTTAATAAAGGATAAGTAAATGTTATGAACAATTTACATCGATAAATTTGATAACCTAGATGAAAAGGGACAAATTCCTTTAAAGACGTAAACTACCTAAACTCAGGCAAGAAGAAATAGATCATCTGAATATCCCTATAGCTATTAAAGTAATTAAATTTGTAGCTTAAAAGCTTCTCACAAAAGAAATTTCAGGCCAGATGGCTTCACTGGTGAGTTTTACAAACACTTGGAAATTGAAGAATAAAGAGTAGTTCCCAACTGATTCTTCGATGCCAGCGTTACCCTGATAACAAACCAGACAAAGACATCACAAGAAAACTAAATATCAGTTCCTCTCATGAACATAGATGCAGAAACCATAAGCAGAATTTTAGCAAATCAAATCCAGCATATATATGAAATTTTCCTTCTTTTTCTACTACCCAGAATAGTTTAAGTAGAATTGAGGAATACTGAGAAAAAAACACTTTTGCAATGATTTGAGTTGTGAGATGAACTAGTTATTTTTTTCATGGAACAGCATTTTTACTTGAAAGAACAACTGACATACAAAGTATGGCTATTTAGACTTGGGTAGACATTTTCTCAAAAATAAACAAAATGAACTTATCGCTTCAAGGAAAACAAGTAACAGTATTTGTTGCCAATGATAAAATTCAAGCTTTCAGATGAAAATTAGGATTTTGGAAAATTTATATCTGTCACTGTGAGTTTGACAGCTTCCCAATACTCATAGACTTTTCTGAAGAGATAGTGATATTAACAAACGTGGTGTTTTGTTTTATATTGTATAATGAAAATTTTATATTGTACAATCAATATTTGACATTGTATAATGAAATGTGTCAGTGTGTATAACTCAATCAACCAATATTTTCCAAATGACCAAAGGTATGATGTCACAAAATCCACTCCAAGTGCAAGACAGTCCAATGGGTTTTAATGTGATGGACTATAAAAAGTTCATTGATATAGTTTCAGATTCCATGTTGAAACTCACTTTTAACAAAACTCCTGCATCTTGAATTTTGTTTTTTTAATCAAAGAAAAATATTTACAATTATTTGAAAAAGCTATTCAAATACTATTCCCTTTTCCAACTACATATCTGGGTGAGTCCATGACTTACTTTCTGTCCAAAGTTTGCCATAACAAAATACCACAAAGTGGGTGCCTTTAAAGCACAGAAATTTATTTTCTTACAGTTCTGAGGCTAGAAGTTCAAATTCAGGGCATTGGAAGGGCTATGCTCTCTCTCTCTCTTCTATCATCTCTAGGGAAAGATCCTTCCGGTCTCCTTCAGCTTCTGGCAGTCCTGAGCATTTCTTGGCTTGTAGATGAATTCTCACATGCTGTCCTCCCCTATGTGTAACTCTCCATGCCTGTCCATCTCTTTTATAAAATGCCACTCAGAAGGGATTAGGATTAGGACCCACCCTACTCTAGTATGACTTCGTTGATTTAACTGATAATATCGATAAAGAAAAACCCTATTTCCCCCAAATAAGGTCACATTCACAGGTGTAGGAGTTAGGACTTCAACACATCTTTTCAGAGGACACTTTTCAAACTCTAACAGTCCAGATCTTCTTCGTGCGCTTCAGTGAAAAAGATACGCTGCAACAGAGTGAGTGTAGAAGTAGATACACGAATTCAGCTGTTTTCTATTAAGCCAGATAGTAAAAAGATTACACAAATGTAAAACAATCTCACTCTTCTCACTAAAATTATTGTTCTGGAAAATATACTTTTGGTTTTTCAACATAAAATAATAGGTTATTTATGGGAATATTTAATGGTTTATTATTCTTGTTTTAAAATGAATTAATACAAAATATTTTTTAGATTTCTCAATTGGTAAATATTGACAGATAAAGCCCACACAAACAAAAGTCTATGATAGTCTTCAATACTTATTAAAAATATAAAAGTGTCTGAGACCAGAAAGTTTGAGAACCATTACTGGAGTGGATTCCTCATGAAAAACTCATGTTAATGTTTGTCAGTGGCCTTCATATCTGAACACAATATGAATAGATATCAAATCCGTGAATACTATTTTCTTTCCTTCAGAATCTTGACGATGATGTTTCATTGTTTCTAGCTGCGGAGTTTGATGCCAATCTGATTTTCTTTTCCTATAAGGAGCTAGTGGAGCCTAGTGACACAGTGGTTAAGAGCCATGGGGTGCTAAGGATGCAAACCACCAGCTGCTCCTTGGAAACCCTATGGAGCAGTTCTACTCTGTCCTATAGGGTCACTATGAGTCAGAATCAACTCGGCACCAACGGGTTTAGGTTTTTTTTTTTTTTAAGGAACTGGTAGCTTTTATCTGGATGCATACGAGGTTTTACCCTTATCTTTAAAAGTCTAGTAGTTTTACTATAAAATGTCTTGGTTTTGACTATTCTGGGTCAATTTTCTTATATACATGGCATGCCCTTTCAGTATGTAGACTCAAGTCTTTTTTTTAATTTCAGGAAAATTTTCTCGAGTGTTTGTTTTAAATATTTGTTCTCATACTAATGTATGCGAATGTACTTAGGTTTTTTCCTTCGGGGGAATGAACATATATATGTATATTAAAATATATGAAAAACATTATTGCTTGTTTTCTGTTTTCTTGAAATCTTTTCTTTCTTTATATCTTTTTTCAAAAAACCTTTCTCCTTTCCAACCTCTATTTCCTTGTATCGTCTTCTCATTTTTTAGTTTTGAAAAAAAAAATTTCAAATTATCTTATGAGCTGTTAGTTCCTGTTTAATACCCAGTTGTGGCCTATCCATATCCTTTTTGAGCTTTTCTATTTTATGCTGTTCTTCCCACGCGTGGATTATTTTATTTCTTTAGTTTGTTTTAAAATACTAGGTTAAAGTTGTCATTTATTTTGTGGACACATTTTTCTAGTATGTTCTCATTGTCTTTTGAAATATTATTAGGTTAATTTTCATCTTTTTTGTTTCCACAGTGACATGAATGAGATTAGATCACATTCTTTACTCGTTCTCAATTTTTAATGAGGCCGTTTCTCCCTGGCCATTAAGAAGCTCCCACACCTCTAGTACACCAAGCCCCGCCCACGCACCCAGCACGCCCAGCGTGCCCCGCCCACACATCAGCACGCCGCCGCGGCCCCGCCCACACACCCAGCACGCCGCGCGGGCCCCGCCTACGCCTCTCACACGGCGGGGTTGTTCGCGCCCAGTCTGTGCTTCGCGTTAGTGCCAGGCGTACTGTTTATTTTACTGCCATTTCCAGGTCTTCGTGAGAAGAAGTAAATGATTTTGGTGAGATCCGAGGTTTTCTGGGATCACAGCAGCCAAGCGGTTAGGGAAGGTAGTTAGAAAAAATAACTTACGGGAAATTCGAGGTACTGCGTAATCTCCATCACTCCTTGAAAACATTCGGGTTTTGCCCTCAGGGAGTCATCTTGCTCTCAAACCCTGTTAACGTTAACTGCCTTTCGTATAAGTGGTTCATCTGGTCAGCCTATTTGATTAAAATTGTTGCTGCCCTTAAACTAGCCAGGGCGTATATAGTGGGGCCTTTCACTAACTCCTTTAACGCTCATGGTAGAAGTTAGTGTATCTTGAGTGACAAATAGAAATCTCATGGCGTTGACTATAATGCCTATATGTTGAACTGCTTATTCAGTAAATTTTATCATGAATCAGAAATCAAATTAATGAATATAATAATCTTAACATAGTCATTAGACATAGAAAGTCATTAAACATATGAACTAATTACAGCTCAGTTCTGTATCTTTGATATGCTATTTTATTCACTTTAAACATCTCACAAAGCCACATTTTCTTAGTTATGTATTTAGCAGTTATATGCAGTTGATATTGTCTAACACAATGGCTGGCTTCATGTGGTAGCAAGAATTTTAACATGGGAATCAAACTTCAATTTGAATTCCAGAGCTACCACAACCCAAAGATGAACTTTGGACAAGTCATTTAATTTCAGTGAGCAACAGGTACATCTTTTGAAAAACTGGGATTGGACAAAACATTAAGTGACTTTTAAGGTCCCTCCAGGTCTATGATTCTGAGCGTCTGTAGAGTAGAAGGGAACACGTACAAACTGAGACCCCACTTGCTGGGGGTCTCCATCCTTGCTGTTTCCCTTAAACAAAATGTGTCCCAGCTGGCTAATATGTGATATACTTTATTTGGTCCACCACTTCGTCTTCCCTCCACTCTCATCATATCACAAAAACCATTAGGAAAGAAATGCCTCATTTAAAATATGTTTTTTTCTCATTACAAATTGGTACATGAATTAATACAGAAAACTTGAAAAACAAAAAAGTGTAAAGCAACACACACGTACACACAAATTCCCATAATCCCACCACTCAAAAAAAGATCACCACTGTCCTCCAATTACTTTTCCAAACATACATATTTTTTCTTAAAAATTTAGCATAGTCTATAGTCTTCTTTGTTCAGAGAGATATATACTTCCTTACAACCAGTTGAAGTATCCACAATAATATGCTCACATCAGAAGCTAAGCAAACATTGTTACATAGATTGTGGAACAGCTGTAATTATGTTATACTCCAGGTTATTCTTAGTCTATCTGTTCCAGAATGGATTGGTTTCACTGCAACCAGTGTTTCCGAAAAGATGGAGCTCATTTCTTTGTCACGAGCTGTGGCCATATTTTTTGTAAAAAGTGTGTGACTCTGGGTAAGTAACTTAACTGTTTTAAGATTCAGGCAAAAATGTTTTTAATCTAGAAATAATGATTTGCCATTTCTCTGTATGACTTAGGATAAAAATCACGTAGTAGGCCAATCAGTGGTAGTGTGGATAATGTAGGAAACTGCTGATTATGGAAATTGGAGGATTCCATTAATGAATCATTTAGCAAATGGGATAAATATTACTTGAGTGCCAAAAGGTACTCATCAGTGTTTTGAAATCTGTGACAGGGAAGGCCACAAGGGATCAGACTGACGAAGGAAAAGAGAGTAAGAATGATGAATAGGCATGAGGGCAAAGTTTGGCTGATATCAAGAACCATTTCTGATGGGAAGTAGTCTAGCCTCTGAAATCAGTTGGGTTAGAAATTATGTTGATGATACTTTTACAGTTTAAGAAACATTTTCACATATACAAATTTTATGTGCTCCTCACCACAACCCCAGGAGCTAATTCTTAGTAGAACCATTTTACAAAGGAGGAAACTGGTTCAGAAAACATAAGTGATTTGACCAAGTTCTCACAGCTATTAAGTCTTAGAAATGGGACTTGAATTTAAGGGTTTGTTTTTATGCTGAAATACGTACAAGGTGAGAAAATAACTCAGAGAAGGGACTTAGGGTAGGGTGCTTTGATCAGGGAAGACTTGACGAAGAGGTGCTGCTTCAGTAGAGTTCTGAATAATAAACCGGAGTTTGCCGAGTGGTCAAGGCAGGGAAGAGCATTCTAGCTGAAGAGAACAGTATGTATAAAGGCATACAACATTATGAAACCATAGTGCAAGGATGACACATAGTCAGGAGTGGTAGAACATAGAGAGTAACGTAAGAAATGGTGAAAGATGAGGCTAGAGAGGCAGAAAGTGGCCAGATGATGTAAGGCTGTATATACCAGGCTAAAAAACCTGACCATCCTTTAGGTGATGGAGATCTTTGGAATTTTGTATTATTTTCTTAAGTAGACAAGTGACTCGCACTTGATAGTTCACTCTAACAATACTATGGAGGACTGACTGGGAAAAACCTTTAGTTCTCAAGGAAAGAGTAGTCTGGTTAGGTAGCCTTTGGAGAAGCTTTTTCCTCTATCTGAATCTCATGATCCTTTTATCTGCTGATGTAATAAAGCATTTACTAAGGTAACAGCTGCTCGCCTTGGAGTGGTTTGTCTCTGTAAAGCACATGCCCTGTGATGTTTTCTAATGGCATGGCATTTATCTCAAGCAATAACCACTGCTGCTGAAATTTCAGATGGTAAGAAAAGATTAAGAATTTTCATTTTCGCATCTTTCAAATTGAGTTAATTGGAGAATAAGAGTAGGAGAGCTTCAAAGCGAGATCCAGGAATATTAACAAAGTGGGAACAGGGTAGGAATAATTGGGGAGTTTGAGTACCCATTGTGTGCCTGCTGTCAGGTAGATAGGATAGCAAAGAGTAATTTAAAGTTGAGATCACTGATACTCTTGTACTTTTCTCAGTACTCTTGTAAATGTACTCCAGTACTCTGCATGGGGGTGGGGGAGGGGTTGTCCCTCACTCACAGAAGAAAATAGGGAATGTAAAAAAAAAGGGAGAGATGGGTAGGAGTACGGTATGAAAGTTTTATCTGTCTTCAACATACTAGTCTGGAAATACTGATTTAGAGAACAGAGCTTAAGCTGATGTCCTTTTATATCCAGTGATATTCTAAATTCAGTCAGAACTCTCTCTACTTTTTCTCTTGCTAGCTTACTCGACTGTTAGAGTATACTTTAGGAAAATCTGACCTCATGCTCAAACATTTCCCCCCATTTTTCTCCCAGAGAAATGTGCCGTTTGTGGAGCTTCTTGCAAGCGTCTGGCTCTTTCTGATAATGTAAGTTTTTATCCCCTGCCACAGACCATCTCATCTTGTTCCTGGCCTGTAAGAAGTATACCCAAGGTACATACGATGAGTAAGTAAGCACTGACATTTTTTTAAAAAGAAAAGAAGGAGACAAAACTCACAGGTAGTAATTGTGAAAAGAGGGTAAGCAACAGATAGAAGAATTATTTGTGGGCACTGTTACAAAAGCATGAAGTAAGGAGAATTAGGGCAAGTAGTCTGCATCTCCTAGAGCAGTTATGATCTCCCTCTTACTTAAGCACAGTGAAAATCATACCAGGCACTTTAGAAGAATGGTACATTCTTTGCTATATTTGTCAGTATTTTATTTCATTGTATTGTGGATATGCTTATTGTTTCTCTTACTCTCTTCATAGCTAAAACCTCAGGAGAAGCTGTTCTTCAAAAGCCCTGTGGAAACAGCTTTGCAGTATTTTAGTCACATCTCTCAGGTATAAGAAACAAAAGTGAAGAAAACCCGATTCTCTAGGCAAATTCTAATTGCATCTTATTCCTTTATGAAAGGTTCTCTTTAGACTGCATTTGTACACAGTAGAGAGAAATTGGCTGCTCTGTTTGTGATACAACTCTCAACCAATTAACTTTTTATTAACCCAGGATTTATGATAGGCTGTAAAACCACCATGTGGCTGCCATTTTGCCTTGTACTTCTTAGTTCTATTAAGTGATTTTTTAAGAATAAAGGAGGTTCTAGGGACCTTTATCATCTTTCTGTGCAGATAGATGCATCTTCTAAAAATTGCTTTGAATTTGTAGGCCTGACCCTGAAAATAATGGACTTGATGGTTTTCTGAACCTTTTGTTTATGGTCAAGTTCATGAAGGGATTTCTTGCTCCTCATTCTCATTTTTCAGTAATGTTTCTTAGTAACGCACATGTATTTAATTCCTCGTTTAGTGTTCACAGCTGGTTGCCTGAATTTTTTAAAACATTTGTCTTTCTTTGATGCATCGTGTATTGGCATACCATTGACTTGACCTTTGGCTTGGTCAGGAATAATAGAGAAGTCAGGGCAACCATTTGAGAGAGTTCCCAAATTGTAAAAACTTTGGTTTTTCCCTTCTACTCTCTAGTTCTCCACTGAGAGTATTTTAGAGTCTCATGGGATCCTTATCTTCGCATGTTTCTTAAGGTTTTATCAGTGTTCCCTTCTCCTTTACTCTTATTTCTCATTCTTATCAGAGTACTCCTTTCCTAAACGTGAAGATGGTCCTTAGTTATTTTTTAGTTGAAGATAGTAGATTTAATTTTTGTCCAGTACCTTATCCCTCAATCCTAACTCTGAAATAGAGGAAGGGGAATTAAGGCTTTGGCTACATTCTGCATTTAGCTGCATGGGTGAGCAATCATGTTTGAGAGACCAGGTTTAACATTATGGGAAGATAAAATCCAGCTGAGACTTAAAGAGAAGTGTAAACAAGGTCACATGAACAAGAGAAAGAGAGCAGACCTTTGGTTAATAACTAAACTCAGGGTTAGTTAATGATCAGTAGAGAAATTATATGTAGTCTGAATCTTAACCTGCCTAATCATGGGACCAATTACACATGGTCAAATAATCATCACTTTAGTTAATCATCACTTTAGTGAAGGTGCAGTTTGGTAAAGTCAGCAAAGTTAAAAATGTGTTTTCCTAGTCTGTGAAGTTGAGTAATTGATCCAAATAATATTGTAGATCGCTTCATTCAGACGTCTGCCCCAGTTTTCCTTCCCAAGACCTTTCCTGATTCTTATATCTCAAATAACGACCCCAGCTGTCTACTCCTTACCTTGCTTTATTTTTCATCATTGCTCTTATCTCTGACATTATATTACATATTTGTTTATTGTCAGAACCCTACACTCGAATGTAAACTCCATGAAGGCAGAGATTTGGTCAGTTTTGTTTATTGCTGTATCCTCAGCTCTTCTAATAGTTTTTAATATGTAGTAAACACACAAAAAATTGTTGTTAAATAAATGAATGGAATATTGTTCTAAATATCCATCTGTGTTTTAACCATCCTCAGTTTCTGTAATGACCTGACAAGGGTATTTTTCTGTTGCACTCTGTGGTGAATAGTGATCATACTGCCCATTTTGAATTCTTCGTTCACCTCTAGATGATTTTTCTAAGTATTTTTGGGGATTGGAGAGCTCCATATGGATCTGTAAACTTTCTTCTATTCCTAGATCATAGACTGCACCCATATCCACAACTAGTCATCTTTCAAATCCATGTCGGTAATTGCCCCTTGTCTGGTAAAGCCTTGATTCCTGCAGGCAGATATTTGCTCTTTTGTACACCTAGCCCACCTTGCTCTTAACTCTGCCAAAGTACTTAAATCTGCGAAAGTGTTATATTTTAATTTATTTCTTCATATGTCTCTTTCTCTCACTAAACTGGGCATTTCAGAGGCAAGTATCATGTTTGTATTGCCCAATGCCTAAATAGGTACTTGGCAAAAATTAGGTGCGTTAGAAATATTTGTTAAATGAATGAATGAATGAAGGCTGGTTAAAAGGGAAGGTAAGAAGTTTAGATTTTCTTTTAAGTGCTATGGAAAACATTGACGAGTTTTAAGCAAGGAAACAGCATTATCTGCTATGCAATTTTAAAAAAGCTGAGTGGAGAATGGACCATAGAGAGGTTAAGAACTAGAAGCAAGGGGACCCATTAGGAGGCTACAGCAGAAGTCTAAGCAAGCTATGAAGACCGCTTGGGCAAAAGTGGTGGCAATAGAAATGGAGAATGATGGTTAAACTGAGATATGTTTCCAAGGGAGATCAAGTAGAACTTGCTGTTGATGTTGATGTGAAAGGTGTGAAAAAAAGGAATCAAGAGAAATAGAGGAATCAGGATGCCTGGGTTTTTGTCTTGAACTGCTGAGTGGAATGGTTGTACCCTTTACCAAGTCTGTGAAGACTGTTTTGGGAGGAAGATCACTTTGGACATAAGAGGTTTTAGATGGAGTCCCTGGGTAGTGAAAATGGTTGACATGCTTGGCTACTGTCAGTTATACAGAGCTGCTACAACAGAAATACCACAAGTGGGTGACTTTACCAAACAGAAATATATTTTCTCACAGTTTATGAGGGTAGAAGTCCGAATTCAGAGTGCTGGCCCTAGGAAAAGGCTTTCTCTTTCTTTCGGCTCTGGAGGAACGTCCTTGTCTCTTCTGAGTTTCTGCTCCTGGGCAGTCTTCATGTGGCTTGGCATGTGTCTTCCCCCATCTCTCCTCTGCTCACTTGTTTAATCTCTTTTATATCTCAAAAGAGATTGACTCAAGGTACACCCTGCACTAATCCTGCCTCATTAACATAACAAAGACAACTCATTCCCAAATGGGATTATAACCACAGGCATAGAGGTTAGGATTTACAACACATATTTTTCAGGAATATAATTTGATCCATAAGAGCTACTAACTTAATGGTTGGAGGTTCGAGTCCACCCAGAGGCACTTTGGAAGAAAGGACTGGTGATCTGCTCCAAAAATCAGCCATTGAAAATCATATGGAAGATGGAGTAGTCATACGCTTCCGGTGGTCCCTCTTACGACGAAGACCCGAAAAAACAAGTGAATCGATTATATATCACAATCTAGGAGCCCTGAACATCAAAGGCAAAGTTGAGGAATCAGACTGAGTGGCAGGGGGAGAGAGAAACGGTTTGGAAGCAGCGAGGTGTTGCCAGATCTGACCTGCCGGTAGCCAGAACCCTTCAGGCTGTATCAGCTCATAGTGCATGGTGAGGCAAGCAGTGGCGCTCGGGAGACATTTTCCACATCGGGAGAGACCCAAACGCAGAGAGTCTAGTAGGCCATCCAGAACCAGTGAGAAGCAGCCCTCAATCAGCAAAAGATAAGTACTTGCATCTGGCCTACCACATGGATCAAAAGCACCCACCTTTGGGAAAAACCTCTCTCCCATTTACCTTCCCACTCCCTGCTCTGCGCTCGGTCCGGGACGGGTTCAGCTATTGCCAAGTCCTCTGGGCCAGAAGTAGGACCCATCACGCGCCCTGAGCCATTCTCCTGGCCTTGGAGAGGGAACAGATTAACAAACTGGGGAAAAAATAATCTGCCGGCTCCCCTAAGCCCGGAACTCAGGGTAGGCAGAGCTCCTTTGCGTAGGCATAGGCATTAGGGATCCACAGACTTTGAGTGCCTTTCCCCCTGCATAGATTTGTGTGGGCCCATCTCAGCAGCGTAGGCCCTCATTACCACAGTACAACAGGGTATATACCTGAAGTGTAACTTCAACTGTTGCAGCTGTGAAGTGGAAGGTTCATGATATTTGACACTGCTCTGCCCATTAATCAGGGTCTTCACCTACCCACATCAGGGGCCTGAGGACTGGTGGCTCCACCCATGCTACCTAGCCACCTGCGACAGGGGCTCAAGAAAGATGCCCCCCAGTCCTTACAGCCAACAGCATTGGTGCTCATAGTCCAGCTGCAGAACCCACCCACCTACACACTCTAGGGAGCAGGGAAATGCTTTCCTCCTGGACACTTGGGGGTGGCCATTGGCCCCCTGCCTTGCCCAGTGTGTGTCCCCCTGCTGCAACTGGATGCCTGTGCCTACACCAATCACCCATGCCTGTCTAGGACTGTAGGTGAGAGCCTGCACCATACACTTGGTGGCCGACTACCTGGACACCTGAGCTGAAGCCGTACAGGAGGAGTGGATGGACTCCTGGGTCCACATACTTTGTGGCAGGTCTGGCCACCTGATGGCAGGATGTTGGAGCTTAAGGGGTGCTGGTGATCGGGCTAGCTCACACAAGCAGCCTATTTGGGTATATCAAAACAAAACAAAACAAGAAGTTAGGACCCAAGAGCAAACATAAAATGAATGAATATAATAACTTATTGATGGCTTGGAGACAACAGTCAATATCAAATCACATAAAGAGGCAGACCATGATGGCTTCAGCAAGATCCCAAAATAAAGAATCAAGAAATTTTCCAGAGGAAGAGAATTTCTTGGAATTACCAGAGGCAGAATACAAAAGATTAATATACAGAACTCTTCAAGAGATCAGGAAGGAAATTATGCAGAACAGGGACCAAGCAATAGAGGAACTTAAGAAGATTAGAGAAGAGCATAATGACAAATTTAACAGGCTACAAGAATCCATAGAGAGACAGCAATCGGAAATCTGTAAGATTCACAATAAAATTTCACAATTAGACAACTCAGTAGAAAGTCACAGGAGCAGAATAGAGGCAATGGAAATCAGAATTAGTGAGATTGAAGATAAAACACTTGATACCAACTTATCTGAGGAAAAATCAGATAAAAGGATTTAAAAAAAATGAAGAAACCCTAAGAATTATCTGGGACTCTATCAAGAGGAGTAACCTACGAGTGATTGGAGTACCAGAACAGGGGAGGATAACAGAAAATGCAGAGAGAATTGTTGAAGATTTGTTGGCAGAAAACTT